CATGCTTTGTAATTCTCATCTTCAAGAACACTATTTCTACTCTTACATATCATGTTAATCTGGTGGGCCAAAAAAGGAACAACATATAAGAATTGCTCGAAAAAATAACAACTTTCTCGCTATGATTGATCCTTTTCCATCATCAAATCCCAAAGCCCACGAAACAAACAGTTCAGACAGTGCCAAATAACTCACATCAACGAAGACAAATGTTACGATTGGCATATCGATCGCTCCTATCAATCGCTACACCAGAGAATAGTACAAAGTTGGAACTAAGCCACATCTCACACGAAAATGTCGTCAACCAGCCATAATACTCGATCGAAGTAACCCGAGACCGAACAAAATCCTAATGTGCCTCAAACCATAGACTTCGCCACATTATTTCAGAAGGAGCCAACCCATTCGCAACCCTCACAATCTTAAGATAGCCGACCTAAAAACCAGAAAGAAATCGCGGTCGCCCATAACGGCCGACAAGGAGTCATTAGTTGCTATGCAAGGAACCAGCCCATTCACAATCCTTAGATTAATTTGCCACGCAAAAGAACGACTTTATAAGACTATTGTTTTTGGTAAAAACCATGACAGAATGTGAAACTCATTAGTTGTAAATGATCACATAAACGCATTTGTATATTTTAATTGTCCAAAAATGACATTCAAAACTAGGCAAAAAAATGTCATAAATTTCACTATTGTTCTTATTCTAACATTGTACATACTATTTTGCAGACAAATTCACCGGCTGATAAAGACTAAAGATTAAAAACAAGAGACATATACAGTAAATAGAAAAGCAAGCGAGCGCGCAATTCTGAGAAGTCCGACCTCTCCATTCCAACTCAAGGCACACTATCCCATCATATGTCCTGTTTCGCAATTCCCACAAGTTTGTGTACTGCACGAGCTGCCCATCGACGTGCACTTGCCCCAAATCGTGCCGCCAAAAGTAGGGCTCGTTCCTGAAGCTCTTGTTAGCTAGCAAGATGTTTAACTGAAACTCCGAGAGCCTATAGTTCATGTCCGATCCGCTCACGAGGCTATCACCCCATATGTGACTCGGTCGACAAACACGAAACAAGCCATTCGTAAATCCCACGTACCAAAACGGCGAGCGGCATTTACAAGTAGCAAAATTCAAGTTCCGCACCACCACAGGCGGCTCGTGACTGACAACAGCCCTACAGGGCACGTCCAGAGGGCCGCCGTCCATCTGCAGAGACAGAGAAATCCGAGACCCACTTAGTGCCTTGAGCAATCGTCTCAGCTTAAGGAACCACCAATTGACGTTGAAATCGGGATCTTCCTCACACGAAGAGAGGATTACATTTGAATTCCACTCCTTGGAAGTTGTGGTCGTTAAAGAGAATGTGTCAGGCACGTGGGTAATACTGAACCAGAAATTGAGAATGTTAGGGGCACAAATCGTAACTCCTTTAAGAATTATTTTTCTTGACAAGATGCGCAACCACTTGACCGAATCACTTGCAAGATGGAATTCCTCGAAACCAGAGCAATTATCTAGTGTCAAGCTCTCAAGAGTCGGGCAGCGGTACGATAGCAGATCGAACGTCTCGCTCGACAGGATCACACTATTGAGACTCAATCTCGTGAGACGAGAGAACAATAATGCGCTTTGGCGGTGACGCCAAATCCATAGGGCCGTTATGGAAACCGTCTCGATACTCGGGACATTGATTTCGATGGTACGCCCTTCGATCCCCTCATAATCACACAACTCAAAGTGCTTGAGCCCAGGCGATCTCAGCCTAACGTTTGTCAACCCCTTGCAATAATAAAGGACCAAACGCCTGAGCAAAGGGCAGCTCAACATTATCGTATCGAAAGTCCCGTCATCAACTTGGACGTGTTCGAGGGTGAGCATGCACAGACGTTTCAACCGCACGCTCTCGACCGGGCTCAGCTTACAATTGCGCAGGTGTAGTTCTTCGAGGGACTCGTAATAAGCCGAAGTTAGTGAAAGACTGCACGTTGGTGAATGAAAGTTGAGTTTGAACGCTTTTATGTTGAGGGCGGTTATCATCGGGATCCATTTGTTAATAAGGGAGATGACCGGTTGTGAGAGAGGACTGGTGGATAAGTGGAGATGGAGTTGGTGCACGGAGAGGTTTTGATCATGATATCCTTGTAGGGTTCTGTCGACTGTGGAAACAAACTGTTCTTGTGCGTCGTCGAACCATTCTTCGGATAAGTCGAGGTCGGGGCGGGTTGATCCGAGGTGGCGCCATTGTCTGGAGAGTAGACAAGTTCTCACAGCTTCTTTCTGAGAGAGGAAACAGAGAATGTCGTGAAGTAAAGGTATTGGCAATTCGGATATTCTGTCTTCCATTGCTACGGCGGTACTCTCCTCTCTTTCTGGTTTTTTTTTTTTCTTTTTTTGAAGAGTTTATGAAAACATGAGTTACTCAGTTTTCTAATAAGAAACCTCTCTTTTAATATGACTATGAGTTTGTTAATAATATGCCTATTCCTATTTAAATTTGGTTACACAATATACCTATTCTGTCTCAAATTTTCTTTAATCGGAGTTTATTTATTATTATTAACAAATTTTAAGCCGCATCTCACCCAATATTATATTTATCTTTAATATCAAATTTGATTGCAATTTATCTATATCTATATAAAAAGCCATCCTATTTACCAAAAATGGTAGCAAAAATATAGGTTAACATTTAATGCAACTTATAAATAGTAAGTGTCATTAATTTAATGTTATTTT